AGCATCTGTCTCCACGGTCCTACGAATTTCCTGGCTCTTGATGTCCGGCAGTTTGTAGCTGCAATGGGGGAGAAATATCAGATGAAGCTCCCAAACTTGAATTATATAATTTTCTTGGGGCATGATCTATTTATTAAATGCACAAATCCGTTACGCTAATTCAACAGATATTTTTGGACCTATGGACTGCTGTTAATACTTACTGCGTGTGCAGGCGAGTGACGTCATTGCCCGCACTCCTGACCTTTGTGCCCGCTGTGGACAAAAACAGCCTGTCTTCATTATCTTGACCCGGGCGGATGTAGTCAGGGCGGATCCACATGTAGTATGCGTCCAGCATCTGCAGAGAAAAACAAAAAATATCTGTTAATATCTGTTGGTTCATTGTTGGTGTTACTGTATTCATGGTAAGACAATTTAGCTTGTATTAAGCGTACTTACTGCAGCCTCCTCCATAGTGAGGGCAAACACAGCAATCTGCATTGTCGCAGTCTTGTGGTCGCTGACAGCCAGCACACTTTGCCCCCAGCATTCTTTTCTCTTCCCCCACTCTGCTGTCTGAAAAAACAAAAATACACACAGAGTGAATAACTGACATAAAGGCCCTCTTCGCAGACTACCTAATATACCTAATATTGCCCCCTAAAATACTCCCACAAAAACTGAGGTCTTACCGTCATTCCCTCCACCGCCCCCGGTCTCTGGAAGTGACCGAGGATCAGGATTGCTTCACAGTAATACCGGTACAGCGTCTTTTGATCTGAAGCCACGTGGTCGCCTTCCATCAGCCTCCCATAAATGGACAGCATGTCTTTCTTGGCCTTCCGGAGGACTGCCTGGCACTCCTGAAGGCTCCTCTGACCCTCGTGGAACCGTTCAAACCTAGAATGACATGATAGAAGACAACAATGCAGGGGAGGATTACACACATGTCTGTGTCACATAACCCCAGATGTACAGCCAGCACATGAGTATTATCAACATGCAGGAAGTCATTAAAGTAAAATAAATGGGAGGCAGACTGACCTGGTTTTACAGGTGACCTTGCTGTTGGACTTGGCCACTGGCTTTCTGAGGGCAACGAGGAGGTCGAGGTAGGCCTGGCACTTCCTGTAGAAGTCAGCATCCGCTGCAGCCAGGTTGAGGTGGGTCTTCAAATACTGAACAAACCGTATCATGTTTAATGTAGTTCAGTATGGTGGCTGGGCCCATTTCAGCGTGACGGAGTTGGGTGAGGTAGTCCTTGGTCTCAGTTGACTTTAGCAGGAAGTCCAAGCTGACTTCATCCCCACTTGGCTGGATGAATCTCAGCATCCTGGAGACGTTGTCTACCTGTGATGAAAGAAAAAGAGAAGTGTGAGATGACGATGCAGCGAGAAGAAAAGCCACACACCAGCCAGCCGCACAAAGACACCCCGAAAAAAAAGCTGTGTTTTATCTAAATTTGTTATGGAACTTAATACGCAGAGAGCTGCTCTACATGTGCTGTGCTACTATATTTTAAAACGTTTCGCGGTTACAAAGAGCAACATGGAACAGACTGAAAAGAGACACATGGGATATATCTTACCTCCTGCTGGCAGTTTGGGACCTGCAGGGTATTGATCAGGTAGCCCTTGAAATCCGTCAGCATGGCCTCTTCTGCAGGGAACTTTTCATACAGCCCCATCTTCATCATGTTGGCACGGACACCTTTGCTCTGCTCTGCTTGATCTCTGAAAAAAATAGAGAAAGACGAAAATGAGCTCAAATCAATCTTGCAGTTTGTTCACAGTTTCTGAACTGATGTGTGTGTGTTGTGTGTGTGTGTGTGTGTGTGTGTGTGAGGTTTAGAACTTACTTTTGCCATGTTCGGTCACTTGGATCGGTGGAGCTGCCTTCAGAGCTGCTATCCTCCGCCACCGAGACGCCACCGGCCGCTTCAGAGCTGCCACCGGCCGCTTCAGAGCTGCCACCGGCTGCTCCAGAAAGGCCACTGGCTGTGGGAACGGCAGCTGTGCTGGTGGACGGCTCTTCGGAGTCCAGGTCTGCAGTGTTCGGAGCATTGGCCACAAAAACTTTCTTTGGCGCAGCTCTTCCAGAAGAGCCAGCCTAGATGGTCTGTGGGGGTACCGCTTGCACATCTCCTTATAGTCCCAGTTTCTGGCCTCCCGTGTCCACTCCTTGCAGGACTCCTTGGCCCTCTTCGCCTCCTCCAGCCGTTCTTCAGGCGTGCTTTTCTTCATGCAGACCCTGCTCAGATGCGTCGTCAGCATGTCCTGTGGTTTTTCACACAGCAGGCAGTGAACGATGCGACGATCGGACTTCTGGCTGTGAGACAAAGCAGACACACCAAAGATTACAACTGTGAAAATGAATGAATGTTTTTGCTTGCTGTTGTGGCTGGACTGTCTATTACATAAAATATACAGTTAAAATATAAAATATACATAAAATTACAAATATACAGAAAGTTGTGGTTTAAGAGGGAAGTATTCCACTGGTTCAGTTTCCACAACCTCTCATACTGTAGTGCTACCAGAACTGGTTTTTCAGCATTCTTAGGACAGAGGCCTGAGTTGTGCTAAAGTGGCTGACCAATTCACACTTCACCCTTGACCTAATTTAGGTCACCAAAAGTTACAAGTCACTCCTTTGGAATATATTCACATGTTTTTGGGATGAGAAACAAGCCTTAATTTAAACAGAAAACACAGAGTGAAAACTATATTTGGGTTTTCCACAATTTGCTTATTATCAACATTAGTTTTATCCTGCCTTTATCCATACTAACGTAGGTCACCATAAGTAACAAGTCACTCCTTTGTGTTTTTCTATTATCTGTTTAAATTAAGGCTTGTCCCAAAAACATGTTGAAATAGTTTCCAAAGGAGTGACTTGTTACTTATGGTGACCTACGTTAGTATGGATAAAGGCAGGATAAAACTAATGTGATAATAAGCAAATTGTGGAAAACCCAAATATAGTTTTCACTCTGTGTTTTTCTATTATCTGTTTAAATTAAGGCTTGTCCCAAAAACATGTTGAAATAGTTTCCAAAGGAGTGACTTGTTACTTATGGTGACCTAAGTTAGTATGGATAAAGGCAGGATAAAACTAATGTTGATAATAAGCAAATTGTGGAAAACCCAAATATAGTTTTCACTCTGGAAACTATTTCAACATGTTTTTGGGACAAGCCTTAATTTAAACAGATAATAGAAAAACACAGAGTGAAAACTATAATTGGGTTTTTCACAATTTGCTTATTATCAACATTAGTTTTATCCTGCCTTTATCCATACCATGTCAACTGAATTGTCAATTACAGGCACAGATGTGATTAGACACAACACAAACAGTAAAAATCCACTAGAGAAAAGAAATTTCAACTTACTTGTCGGCTTTTGCTGCCATTTTCCAAAAATAAAAAGAAGTCCTTGGGAAGGGAGTGAGAGTCTTGGGATGAAAGTATAGAAAATTCTGCCAAAGACAAGGAGCACAAAAACAGGAGTGTAGCTCAAGTTGAAAATGTCCTTGCAAAGGGCAAAAGGTGGTCTCTGCAGTCAGAATCGAAAACAAAGTGAATGAATGGTTCCTTAACTGCAGTACTTATTATCTGTGCAGCACCAGCTGTGTGATGTCATGGTCAAGCAGACCAATCGGGTTGCTTACTATTGTTTAGAGGGGGCAGGGTGTGACTTTGTAAGCAAGACACTTGGTTAGACAAGACAGATTCTGCAGACAAGACAGAGCTCCAAACATCTGCAGAGGGAAGACATGGAGTGTGCTGGAAGACAGAAGAAAGCAGGCCACAGACCATCAGCCTGCAAAGGAAGAAAGCATCTGCAGAGGGAGGAAAGAAATATCTAAACAGCAATTTTAATTGCTAACACTAAAGAGCTTCTATTCCACCTCATTATAAACCTACACACTCACTTTTTCATGTAGTCTCCTTCTTAACATTTTATTACATGTGATGATTAAAAACTTTAAAACTGAGACATGTGTGCCATACTGATGTGTGTCCAAAACACACCTCCATTGTTCTGAGATCACTGATCAGAGTATAATAGAACCACATGTCAAACTCTGAGTGGTTGCTAATAAAGATGTATTCATACATCAAACCTATTTACATGTCACTAAGGAGGGTAAACTGTACAGGTTGTTTACAGACAGAAACAAATTGTTTGTATGTATGCTGGATGCTCCCTGACTGGTTAGCTGCAAACAACTTATTTCTGATGAAAGTTAAATTAAACAACCACATTCCAGGTAAACTTGCACCTGTGCACAGGTAGCTCTGCAGACAGTCATAGCTGTCCTGCAGCTGCCTGTGGGGGGGGGGCATTTGCATCTGTACACAGGCTGAGAATGAGAGTGTGACACTCTGATTCAGCCAGCTTTCATTTAAGTCATTACTTCTGCTCTAGGAGACCAGGGTAAAATGAGTCTGCTTGTCCTGTATCTCTTACATTTTTGGGTGAGTTCAGGGTAAAATTCTCCCTCTTCAACAGGATCACATTTACTATACTATCTATAGCCTAGAGTCAGGCCTTTCACTGGAGACCAACATTGTTTATTTTGAAACTTGTGTTTGCCTGGTGTCAGAGGTCAGATCTCTTAAAGTTTTTGGTATGTACTTCTGCCTAGCATTTTCAGAAATATGGTTGATGATACACACATTTAAAGCTTTCCTCTTCCTCTGTACTGCAAGCCCAGGCCTACAAATCAAACATTTCCCAAAATTTCAGGCTCAGTATTTCAGGCCAACATTGTATGTAATGATCAGAATAATCAGATTTCCCTACACTGAACATGTATTAAAATGTGTTATGTAACTCATCCTTGTCATTTCTTACATTTGACTTACTTTATTTAAAAACAAATCAGTCATGGTCAGCCCACCCCCTCTTGGCTGCTGCAGAAAGGTGGGAGGGACTATCAAGTGGACATATAAGGTGAGACCTCAGAGGCACCATGTACTCAGTTCTTCAAGAAAACACTGAAGATTCCTCCTGCATTTTTCTTTGTTTGTAAACTAGCTTTTTCATTTGCGAAGAATGGCTCCCAAGCGGTAAGTTCAGATCATTTGTATTTTCTGTCTTTACATTTTAAGAATGCATTCACGTGTACTAACATCTGTAAGCTTAAGTAAATAATCTATTTCTTGTTATTTAACAGCCTTACTGCTGTACCCAGGTGGCCTGTTGGTTGACAATACTATGAGCAAAAATCTAGCAAAACACTCCTTAATGACTAAATTACTAAGTTACTACAGTTATTCTTTTCTTAACTTTGAGTTAACTACAAGCTGTATGTGTTTTGTCCCTGACTTAGAAATAATAAGTATATAAAATAATAATTTGACAAGAACATATATTTGATCATGGCCTAAAATCCAAAAACAAAGGCTTTTTCAGAGGCAGCAGTCTGGACTGCAGTGTGGCATTGTAATTAGAGTGTCCAATTTGCACCTCATTGTATTAGGATCACACCAGCCCCCTCCCTTTTGAATCTGTTTCACCTTCAAAGTTTTTCTTTATATGACATAAGTAAACATGTCTGTGTTGAGAATGTGATTATTGTGCCATTTAGGTCAAATCCAATCTTTTTTTCCCATCAACGCTATTAAATTCAATTCAATTTTATTTATGTAGCGCCAAATCAAAAACTTCCTTGTCTCAAGTCTTTCTGGAATATTTTGTTTTATGAAACGATTTTAATCAAACTAAACCGTCTTCCTTCTCTCTCACAGTGACAAGGATCGCCGCATCGTTTCCTGTCTGCAGTGTTTCAGACCACAGGAGCTGTTGCCTAACCACCTGTTAAGAGTCTGCCTGAAGAACCACACAAATGAGGAGAGGAATGCAGAGGTGGACAGAGCCAAAAAGTCGATGAAGGCCTGGACCCTTCAAGGCAGAACCTGGGACTACAACGTCATGGTCAGGCGGTACCCCGATGAGGCTTCCAGACAGGCTCTTCTGGAAGACCTTCGTGACATGCATTTTTTAATTCTTAATGACCCCATGGACACACCTGCTGAATCCAGTCACAGACCACCAGGCGCTGCAGTTGAAACTTGCAACAAAAAGTGAGTTGTTATTCACTAGTATTACTTTTTATTTAATGCAGAGTCATTAAATTTAAATCTTGGAACGCTGCCAGGCACAGATACAGAAACATTTCTAACTGGCCTCCTTATTTGTTTGTTTTTTTCATCAAATCATTCTAGACCTGCTCAGCCGACTCTCCAAGACTGCCAGAGAGTCCTCAGAGTGTCACAGATGGACATGCTGGACATCCGCAGGAGGCTCCTGGATCAGCAGCATGTGGAAGAAGACCAAAAGACGCTGTTCCGTTACTTCTGCGAAGCCATCCTGGTCCTGAGATACTTCCAGCGACCAGAAGCAGTGAGGGCATTTACAGTAAGTACTTTGACTTTATACACACTGAGGAAACACTGTACAGTAAGTCACCCTGTAGTCATGTCATTAATCCCCACTGTGTTCTTTATTTGTTTTCCAGGCTTCAGATTGGGTCAACAAGACACATGTTGAGGGACGAATCCGAATGGGGGTCAGTGAACTGACAGCGTCCACAAAGAAGAGTGCAACATTTTCCCTCGCAGTGGAGGACTCTGCTGTAAGTTCTCTATAAGGCTGAATATGATTGACCCCCCCCCCCCCACCCCCCTCCCCAGAGGACACCAGCACCTCCTCATATACTTTTGCCAATGAATGACTGATGATGATTTTTTTTTACTTTTGCCAATGAATGACTGATGATGATTTTTTTTACTTTTGCCAATAAATGACTGATGATGATTTTTTTACTTTTGCCAATAAATGACTGATGATGATTTTTTTTACTTTTGCCAATGAATGACTGATGATGATTGTAAATCAAGACTTAGGGGATGGTGGGGTTGTAATAAGTTCTCTAGCAGCCTGAAAAGACTTAATATGAATTACTTTAGCATCAGAATGAAGCATTAACTTCCTGTCTGATCTCCACAGATGCTGGACGCATACTTCCAGAAGGTTCGTCCAGCATGTCTGCAGGACAGTGTGGACGACCAGGGCAGATTTTTCCTGTCCAAACAGGGCATACCAGTTGGCAACGTTGCGAGCGACCTCAACCGTCTGCATGAACAGTAAGTTTTAGCAGAATCATGTATTATAGTGTATGCATTTATACACGCTGTACAGAGAAATATAAAAGGATTAAGTTGAGTGGCTGGCTTATGTACTACATCAAGTTCAAATAATATTATTTTATTTTCTGTTGCTATCTGGTTTCGGTGCAATAAATTATCTCTTAACATAAATAAGACTAACTACATCGTGTTTCTTTCCAAACAAAATCAATTGGTAAATAAGTATGTCTGCCTTAAAATAAATGAACAAATTATTGAAAGAGTAAACACCATTAAATTTCTCGGAGTCTTTATTGATGAATGTCTACAATTCAAATGTCATATTGACCAGTTAATAACCAAATTATCAAAATACGTTGGACTATTTTTCAAAGTAAGACATTTTCTCCCGCAGTCAGCACTTGTTATCTTATATAAAACATTGTTTGAATCCCATTTAAATTATTGCAATGTCATATGGTGTAACACTTTTACTTGCTACCTGAAAAAAATACAGTCTTTACAGAAAAAAATTATACGGGTAATGACGTGGTCTGAGCCAAATACCCCCTCGCGTCTATTGTTTCATCGCCTGGGTCTATTAAGACTTACCGAATACAATTCTTTTCTTGTATGATATTCCAAGTTATTCATAAGCTAAATGACCGATTGTGTGAACTTGTCCCAGTCAGTCGACCCCAGCATACATATCACACAAGGGAAAAAGACTTAATTACTGGTAAAATCAGAAGTTTGAAATGTACGAGCCTGCGTGTAGTCTGTAGAGGTCCGCAGATTTGGAACAAGCTTGAGGAAAACCTTAAATTGGTGCATTCTGTCTCCGTTTTAAAAAAAAATCTGAAGGAATATTTGCTCTTAACATATACTTTTTGATCATTTTGGAAGTGTTATATTTGTTCTGGGATCGATCTTTTGTTTGTTTGTAGTGCTTGTGTTGTATTTATATTATTTGTTTTTATATATTATATATCTATATAGATATTGGGCCCCCTCTTAAAAGCTTTAATAGCTTCTTTGGGGTTCCCCCTTTTCACACAATAACCTTCCTGTTACCATTGTAATTTGTCCCTAAAAATGATGATGTGTGTGTGAAATAAATATGAAATAAAAGTGAAATAAATATGAGGACAACACCCAGCAGCTCCGGTATAGATTTTACGGCTACTTTTCAGCCTTTGTGGCCTGCCTCTACGGTCACCGCCCGGGGGTCCTTACAAACATGAAGGTGGCGGAGGTGCAGGCTGCTCGAAAAGACAGCAAGGACGGGGATGATGGTTTTGTGGTTTGTGTAAGTATGATGTTTTTGACTGATGAATGTTTGTCAAATATTGGTCATTCTCTGATATTTTCACAATCTGCATACTTTTGAGAAGAGGATCGGGCTCGTTTGGACAGCCTGAAATGTTTCTGTTTGTCAGAATGTCACTCACAGAATCTTGTTTGTAAATGTGTCCACAGGTTAGCGAACACAAAACGAACAAGGACTTTGGGGCGGCACAAATATTTTTCCACCCCGAAGAGTTTGGCTGGCTGGAGACCTGGCTGGACCTGAGGGAGCGGTGCCACCCCCGAAACAACCTTGTGTTCTTTACAGCCAGTAAAGGGCCTGCAAAAACATGGTCAGGTACATGCAGACGGCGTGGGGGGAGATGGGCCTCCCCGGAAAGCCCAACTTCATCGACATCAGGACGGGTGTGTCGGCACACGTGAGTTCTTTACATTCAGTCGTATTCAAGCAACTCTGCAATCCAAACAACCTGCTGCCTTCACTCACGTGTCCATTTTCTCCCTCTCCTCTGCTGTCTCCAGGCAAAGAACCACCACTCTGATGAGGTCCAAAAAAGAATTGCCACCTTCATGTGTCACAACACTGCCACTGCTGACCGATTCTACGCTCTCAATCTGGACGTAAAGCAGGTGTAGCACACAGGAAGGATTATGGGTAGGGCCGTGATCTGATTGGTTGGTTAAGTCGGTTGGTTCGGCTGCTGGAGCAAAAGTGAGGTGTTTAAAATGAGACTCAGAGACCAAGGATTAGATGTAGGATAATGCCGGCTTCTTATATTTGAAGATATGTATAAAAATAAAAATATTTGTTGGTACCAAAAATGAAAAAGTACAATAAAAAAACAAGCAATGAATAAGGCAATTATTGATATCACAATCAGGCTATGACATCAGCATGAAATGCTTGCTTTCCAAATTTAAAGTGAGTATTTCACTCTTTGAAGTAGTTCTATAATTAAATTCCCGGGTGCACCCTTTAACCTGAATTTCTGTTAATAACACCACATTCACGTTTGTTCAGATCCAGTTCAATAATACAATCCAATAGAATTCACACAGTACAACAGTAACCCTTAATTGCAGGAATGATTCCTACTACTCAGCTCCAAATTCTCAGTCCCAAGGTGTGAACAGGTGAGTTTGTTTAAGTGAGTCCAAAGTCCAAACAAAAAATGGATTTGTCGAAGGTAAGTCAGAGTTCAGAGTTCCATAGGGTTGGTGTATGGATGTGTGTGGGGGAAGGAGTGTGAAGGTGAGTGAAGGGGTTTTGTGTTGTAGTGGGGCCTACCACACCGCAAAGTGCAGTAGTAGCGGGACAGGTCCAGTGATCCTGAAGAGGGAATGGCTCCCACGATCATTCAAGAGGGACGGCTCGCCATCAATTTTCATCCGCAGATCCAATCCAGACAATGGAAAAAGAAGCACGCACACAAAAAAACCTGACCTGTCAACAGACAGGGTCAGAGAAATATTCACTGCTTAAGTCTCATGCAATAATATACACTACATGAAATTCACAATACACAATGACATACATACTGTGGGTGTTTACTTTCTGTGCCTCTCTCTCAAAATTCAGCATATAAACATAAATAACTTGGCTGCACACAACCAGATAAGCTGCACATTAGAACAATTAAAGTTTTGATGCAAGTGCAAAATAAAGTAAGCTGAGTTTACACATTAAACAACACAGTAAACCAGCTTGTTCAACTAAAACTGTAGCTTCATATTCACTAAGTGCACATAAATAATTTAAGGTGCAAAGTAAGTGAACATTCTCACCGATTTCACCAGAGCGGCTGGACACACACCCAAAATGGCGGCGCCCAGTAAAGCCACAAGGTCTTCTAAAACCGAAACATACGAGACCGTATGCGACTTTCAGTACTTTCTCTCAGTGCAAAATAAATTAGCTTTCACAGTAAGGTGATAAAGAATGAACAAAAGCAGTTTTAAATGAATTACCTCGCTCTTGAATCAGCAAAGACTGCGCGTCGCGGGAAATCCTACGGACATCAAAGCTACCGACGCTGCTAGTAGTCGTCTCAAGCGCTATATCTAAACACTGAACTTACAACTAAACTCTCACAGCAGTTAACTACCACGTTTGTAGTGTTGAAGTTAGCCTCAGTGTAGTTCGTTTTTTAGCTGTATTTTCTCCAGGTTTCTCCGTTTTCACCCTCTACAGCAGCACTTCTGTCTCTCCACACACACAGCAGCGGGGAAAAAAAACTTTCGCTCGCTCCCAGAGACGCGGGAGCAGGTGGGCGGGCCTACCTGCTGTCAGCCGATTGGCCAAACTAACCTGTCGGTCTATTTTGCCCTGGTACTGAATTTTAACCCTTTAAAATCCTTAGATAATCTCTAAAGTTGCATTTCAAAAATAAAATCACTCATTCAGATTTTTATAGGCTTTTCCTATTTTTAAACCTAGATCATTTCATCTGTGTTACACAGGCCAAAGAAATGCGGCTTCATTTTGAGGCAATGTCAGCCACCCCTGCTGCTGAATGCCCAGCCTCCACCTCCACAGGCCCCACTCACCGCACCTCCTCCAGAAAGAGAGCCAGGAAGGAATCCACCGACTCCAGTTCAGAGGAAGAAGGTGAGGTCCCGTACCAGGAATCTGAAGGTTCCAGCCTGGAGCAGGAGCTTGAGGAGATGCGGCAGAGGAAGGCCGCAGGCTTGGAATCGGAGAAGGAAGACGACGGAGCCGAAGGCCCACCTACACTGCCCCTTGTTTACTACTTTCTGCATGTAGTTCCTTTTGTTTGCTGTTTGTGTGTTTTGAAAATAAATTACATAGTTGTTTACTCGCATGGGTCAAATGATTTATTTTAAGTTAGCTTTGGGTGCCTGAATAATTGAAAAGTTTCTGACATTTCACTCAACATTTGGACTTGTGTTTTTGGGGGCCTCCATCAACCATGACCAGGATTACAGAAGTCTCCCCAAAACTCCTAGGACAGGCTCTCATTACGGAGGGGGACCTCCAGGAACAGTAGAGGGGCCCCCAGCTGTGGTTCAGGTACCGACAAGGTGGGTTTTTGACATTTGGGAAGCTTTTTGACATTTGTCCAGACAATTGGGAACACAGACCCCCCCATTGTAAGTGATGCTAAATGTCAAAAAATAAGGAAATGAGCATTTTTTGACATTTGGCATCACTTTCAATGGGGGGTCTATGTTCCCATTTGTCAGACTGGACCTTGTGGTCCTGGGCCCCCCAGGAACCATCACCAGTATCCACATACACCAGGACAGACTCTCAATAATGAGGGGGGCTCCAGGAACAGTAGAGGGGCCCCCAGCTGTCTTTGAGGTACCCTCCAAAGTGACATTTGACATTTGGGAAGCTTTTTGACATTTGTCCTGACAATTGGGAACACAGACCCCCCCCATTGTAAGTGATGCTAAATGTCAAAAAATAAGGAAATGAGAGAGAGAAATATACAAGACATTCCATCAAACTCATTTTTGACAGCTATTTCCTGTAAGAGAAGGGGGGAAGGGGGATGGAAGGTGGGGACAACAGGGAAAAGCTGTGGGAAACACCAATTGCAGAAAGCAACGAAACCTGCAATAGAACAGAGAGGGGGGCTTGGGGAGGAGAAAAACAACAAACAAACAAACAAACAAACAAACAAAAACAAACAATACAAATAATAATAATAGTAAAAGACAACCAGCCGAACAGCAGCAATAAACAGC